TGTACAGTATATGAGAGAAAACTAAAGTTAACGTTGAAATTGCACACCTGATTTGCACAAAATCTGTTATATACTTTATATATATTGAAAATAAAAGTTATTTCACTGCACCTTTTTATCCATTTTATCTACGCTGCTTACCATACAGAAACACTAGTTAGCTAACGCTATTATCCCGAGTTACTAGGTTTAACGTGAGCTAATAAGAGTTAAACACAGTCTGTGGCACACTATCCTTAGCTAGGTACATTTGTTGCTCTTTTATAGTACCGTAAGAGATGACGGGCAATTATTTAAAAAGGAACTTAATGGAAAACGTACCGTTTCTGTAACCTTGAAAATGCCCCGTGGTCTTCTTCTTGTTCTTTTTCTTCTTATAATAACTTAAATTAGCTTAGCTAGTTCTTTTGCCGTAGTATTCTTCTTAATTTTCGCGGTAGTATTCACTACTTATTCTTCTTCTACTTCCTTAATGTTGGGATGAACCCATCATTGCGATCGGGCTCCCCCTATTTCCGTTTTCTCTTTTGCATGTGTTTTCAGTTAATGCAGCGTTTTCCTTTTGCATGTGTTTTCCGGTTAATGCAGCGTTTTCCTTTTGCATGTGTTTTTTGGTTTATGCAGCGTTTTCCTTTTGCATGTGTTTTTTGGTTTATGCAGCGTTTTCCTTTTGCATGTGTTTTGTTTAATGCCGCGTTTCTGTCTTGCATGTGTTTTTTGGTTAATGCAGCGTTTTCCGTTTGCATGTGTTTTGTTCAATACCGCATTTGTGTCTTGCATGTGTTGTGTCTTTTGCATGTGTTGTGACCGTGTCGGCCACCGTACGAACCAGTTCCATGTAAATATTTAGGTGTCAGCACTGACGGAGTAGACTTTGTTTAGCTACTTCAATTAGTGGGACGCTAACTTAGCTAAAAATGTTAGTCATTTTTAAGAGTTTTGCATTCGGTCGCAAAGTCAAACACAAACCTCTGAGAGACAAAGCAGGTTGTTTACAACACTTACCGCCGTTGAAAATACATTTCCGTGCTCTTTAAGATTTTATCATCTAGCGGGGGAAATATGTTCCGCGAATTGATTTTGACGCGCCGGCTCCCCGCCATTCCTAGTAGTAATGTGTCGTTCACAAACGCTTGGTCCATTTTGAACAAATGTTTCCCATGACTCGAGACTATCGGGTCATCTCGGTGATTCGTTCATTTTGTGTTGACCACGCATGCGCAACATCGCATAAGCGTAGTTCACCTTTCGAGTCATCGGTTTCGAGTCGTTTCTTTTTTTTGTAACGTCACATGACCGCTTTGTTGGATACAGAAAGTAGTTAGTTTTCAAACGTCCGTACAGTTTTTACTCTTACTGATGCATTTATTTTTATTATAAAATAGCTTTTTATTTTATTTATTATAATTTTGTGAATATCTGTCAAAAGTGGTTCTTTCTTATTTGAAACGTGATCAATATGTGTGTAAGTAAATGGGGAATTAACATGTAACATTTTAATTACATTCTGCTGAAGTGAACGAAATGACTCGAAAAAAGATTCGTTCATTTTGTTGAACGAGATTCAAAGAACCGAATCAGTAAAATGATCCGAACTTCCCATCACTAATTCCTAGTATACCCGGAAGTGACATCATGCTACTGTATGTGCGTCACCAAAATTCAAATTCTTCCATGCTTCTGTATGTGCGTCACCAAAATTCTAATTCAAATTCTTCTTCTTATATATTTTAATGACAGTTGGAAAAAGCTTCAAAATTCAAAGTAAATTATCAGGTTTATTTAAAGTCCCCATGGCATGCTTCTTTCCAGTCATTTAATGTTTAATCTTGGGTACCTCTATAATTATCTTGGCACCCCTCGTAACTCCTAATAGTCTATTTTTTTTTTCAGAATAATAAAACCAAACAGCCTCTTTCTAAAAACGAGAGGATAGTTCGTGAATGCGCACAAGTCCTGCTGCCGGTGTTGTGTGGCAAGTGGACCGCACAAAGAACGAGATGGCATTAATTAATTCACCATAGATATTTAACAACCGTATGTGTAGAAAAAATAGTGTATGTGTGTGCACAGTTTTTTCTTATTTGAAAACATGATCAATATGTGTGTAAGTAGTGTGTACACACACACACATACACTTCTTGCAAACTCTCGATCATGAGACTCTTTTTCTACACCTACGGTTGTTAAATATTTATGGTGAAAAATCTTCTGTTGGGCTGAGGAAAGAGCTGTGTAGTGGAAGGAACTCGTTTAAAATTTGTTGGTTGTTGTTGAACTCATGTATTCAGACACCACAGTGAAGGCTGACATTGTCCCAAACCACGACATA